AGACTATAGCTCAAACTATAGACTATAATATAGACTAAGCTATAGACTAGACTATAGACCAGATTATAGTCTACACTATAGACTAGACTATAGTATAGACTATAGTCCCGACTATAGTCTAGACCATAGTATAGACTATAGTCCCGACTATAGCCTAGACTATAAACCAGACTATAGTATAGACTATAGTCCCGACTATAACCAAGACTATAGATCAGACTATAGTCTACACTACAGACCAGACTATAATCCACACTAGAAACCACACTATAGTCTAAATTAGAGAAAAGACTAAAGTCTAGACTAGAGAAAAGACTGTAGTCTAGACTATATACCAGACTATAATCTAGACTAGAGACCAGACTATAGTCTACACTAGGGACCAGACCATAGACCAGACTTTTTGCCGAACTAAAGTTGATAACTAGACTACAGTCTAGACCACGAAAGAAGCCAGATTTTAGACTTAAGAAAATTTAATTTTTTTTTATATTTTTCCAGTACATGATCCTACGTCCCGGTAATAAAATTGTGGATATGTGGTTAAGTCCCGATGTCAATGTTACCATAGACATTCACTTCTTTAACTGGACTAATTCTGAAGATTTTTATAAAACCAAAGTGAAACCTAAAGTTGAGGAAGTGGGTCCATATAGTTTTCTAGAAATACCTAAAAAAGAAATTTTTCAATGGCATCCTGAAAATAATACCGTGGACTATGGTAAAAAACATTGGTACTATTTCGATGAGACCAAAAGTGAAAGGCCTTTGGAGGATAAATTGGTGACAGTGAATGGTTTGCTGGTGGTGAGTAATTAAGAGAAAGAGAGATGAGTTAAAAATTTTGTATTATTAAATATTCTTAATACCAAATGTTTAGGCGGCCGCTTCGAAAACCCGCGATTGGAACTATGTGAAACGGGCCGTAGTGGATATGGCTTTGAGATTATATAAAAATGGTATTGTTTGGAAACATACGGCAGAGGAGTTTTTCTTTAAGGGTTTTGAGGATAATATAGTGAATTTATTGTCAATATTTCCCTCCTCCTTTCGCAGTTCAATGGGTATATTTGTACCCTGGGATCGTATAGGTTTTATATATGGTGTAAGTACAGTTATCACTAATAGCTGCGACATACATAATTATATTTGAATCCTCTACAGCGCAATGGCAGCACTGATTTATTGGGCACTCACACTATTAGCACTGGCGCGGGCAATATGGATGAATTTGGTCAAATAGTTTTGTGGAAGGGTAAAAACTATTCTGAACCTTTACCCCAAGCCTGTTCATCCGTCAAGGGATCAGCGGGTGAATTCCAGAAAACTAATCTCAAAAAGAATGAATCAATACAGTATTTTTTCTCGGATTTTTGTCGAACCATCAACTTGGATTATGTCGACGAATATATGGTAGAGGGTATTATGGGTTATCGTTATATAATCTCACCAAATACTTTCGATAATGGTACCTTAAATCCTGCTAATGAATGTTTTTGTAATGGCGAATGTTTACCCTATGGTGCTGTAAATATATCGGGTTGTTGGTTTGGTCTACCCGTTTTCATATCAAATCCTCATTTTTTGGATGCTGATCCTTTCTATGCCTCCAAAATAGACGGTATGAAACCGGAGTTAGATAAACATTTAACTACGGCCGTCTTGGATCCTCGAACGGGATTTATGTTGGAACTTAAGGGCCGTTTGCAATTAAATTTCTATATACAGCCCAGTTCTCATATAAGGTAATAGCTGATCATTTAAACTGAAATCGTTTGAAGCTAAATGTCTTAAATTTTACCCCTCTCTCCCTCTAGATCTTATCAAAACACACGCCGCATGCTTTTCCCTATCTTTTGGTTCGACATGCATATGCGCATTTCTAAAAAATCCGCCCTATTACTCAGAATCATGAATAACCTTCAACTTTATTGTCATATCTTTGGTGCCTCTATAATCTTCATATCCCTTCTCTTCTTTATCTGGCAGCCCCTGAAACGCATGTGGAATAAACGTTATACTCATCACATGCAAATCAACACCTTGGCCGATGATGATGAGGATTACAGTAGTAAACAGAAAGACTTCAAGACGCGCGATTCTTTATATAGTTTACCTCCTAATTTTCCCACACTCCTATACATTTCACATCCACGCCGCAGTTTACCGGTTATCATATCTCAGTTGGACGAGAGCGAGGCGTTAAATTCATGTCTAGACGATAATCAGCGAGAGGAGTTTGAGCAAGAGTTAGAGACAATGGTTGATCATATCGGAAATAAAAGTTGATAGATTTTACTTAAAGTAGTTAGTTAAGTATTAAAGTCATTTCTAGTTTAAATGAGGTTTAATTCAGCTTTAGCTGAATTATAGCCTGATATAGTTTTTTATTAAGAGGTGGTTTTAAGTAAAATACTCCTTAAATTGTAAATATACACACATACACATACATATCAATATTATCACATATTAATTTGTGAGATTTTATAATAAAATAGTTGTGATTAATCTCGAGCACGATAAAAAGGTGAGTCTTAACAAATTTCAGTAACGACGGACAAAATTTTGATTATATTAGAGACTAGACTTTAGACTAAACTATGGACTAGACTGTAGACTAGACTATAGACTAGACTATAGACTAGACTATAGACTAGACTATAGGCTAGACTATAGACTAGACTATAGACTAGACTATAGACTAGACTATAGACTAGACTATAGACTAGACTATAGACTAGACTATAGACTAGACTATAGACTAGACTATAGACTAGACTATAGACTAGACTATAGACTAGACTATAGACTAGACTATAGACTAGACTATAGACTAGACTATAGACTCGACTATAGACTAGACTATAGACTAGACTATAGACTAGACTATAGACTATAAGACTAGACTATAGTCTAGACTATAGTCTAGACTATAGACTAGACTAGACTATAGACTAGACTATAGACTAGACTATAGACTAGACTATAGACTAGACTATAGACTAGACTATAGACTAGACTATAGACTAGACTATAGACTAGACTATAGACTAGACTATAGACTAGACTATAGACTAGACTATAGACTAGACTATAGACTAGACTATAGACTAGACTATAGACTAGACTATAGACTAGACTATAGACTAGACTATAGACTAGACTATAGACTAGACTATAGACTAGACTATAGACTATAGACTAGACTATAGACTAGACTATAGACTAGACTATAGACTAGACTATAGACTAGACTATAGACTAGACTATAGACTAGACTATAGACTAGACTATAGACTAGACTATAGACTAGACTATAGACTAGACTATAGACTAGACTATAGACTAGACTATAGACTAGACTATAGACTAGACTATAGACTAGACTATAGACTAGACTATAGACTAGACTATAGACTAGACTATAGACTAGACTATAGACTAGACTATAGACTAGACTATAGACTAGACTATAGACTAGACTATAGACTAGACTATAGACTAGACTATAGACTAGACTATAGACTAGACTATAGACTAGTAGACTAGACTATAGACTAGACTATAGACTAGACTATAGACTAGACTATAGACTAGACTATAGACTAGACTATAGACTAGACTATAGACTAGACTATAGACTAGACTATAGACTAGACTATAGACTAGACTATAGACTAGACTATAGACTAGACTATAGACTAGACTATAGACTAGACTATAGACTAGACTATAGACTCGACTATAGACTAGACTTTAATTTGTTAGCTGAATTTATAATAATTATTCAGCTGAATTGTAAATGAGTCCAGCTGAATGTAAAATTTTGCTATAAATTTATTATTTTTTAACTATTTTCTAAAATTCTTCAGCTGAATTGCATTTGCAGCTCGCTGAATGGGATATTTATGCCAACAAAGTCATTGTATTGAATTGACATTTTGTTAGAAAATTGAATTATTTTATTGTTTTTGTAGTAATTTACTTAGCTGAATAGCGGAATCACTTAGCTGAATTAAGATTTTTTTAAATTTAAACAGTATTTTGTTTAATTTAAATACACTAATAACAAGCTGAATTGTGTTTAACAGCAGCTGAATTAAAAATTTTATTATAAAACTTATAATTTTCTTACATTACATCAAAATAACTTAGCTGAATAGCACTTTAAGCTAACTGAATTACATATTATGCTAGCTGAATTGGATATTTTGTTAGAAAATCTTGGAATTTTATAGTTATGTAATAATTTACTTAGCTGAATTGTTAAATGCCTCAGCTGAATTGAGTTTTTAGGAGCTGAATTGTAAATTTTATTAGAAATTTATAGTTTTGAAGTAATTTACTTAGATAAGTCAGCTGAATTAGGTTCTTAGGCGCTGAATAAGATATTTTGCTGGAAAATTTTAGAATTTTACAGTTTTGAAGTAATTTAGCTTAGCTGAATTAAGTTTTTAGCAGCTGAATTAGATATTTTGTTGGAAAATTTTAGAAATTTATAGTTTTGAAGTAATTTTGTTTAGCTGAATTTAGTTTTTAGAAGCTGTATAAACAAAATGTTTAAAAAACTTTTATAATTGCTTAAAAAAATTTATAAAACACAACTGAATTTGATATTTTTTGAGAAAACCTTTTATAGTTTTTGCATATTCCGGTAAAAGTAATTATTTTAATTAGTTTGGTGTACTAGTTGTTTTAGAATTAAGGTAGTTTGTGGCATTTTTAACCCCTCCTATTGCCAAACTTTCTATAGCTTTTCCCAACATGTTTGGGTATTTTAAAGGAGAAAGGAGAAGGAAAAGGAAAAAGGATTTTAGATTTGTTGGCAAATAAAAGGTGCAAGTCGTGTGTGCTGAATACTTATTTAAAACATTCCGTGTGTGTTATGCAAAAAGAGTGAGGTTAGTGGTTTTTAAATTTCTAGTTGTTTTTTTTAAGAAAATTTCTTTAAAATTTGCTTTAGTGTTGAGAGGAGTAGGGAAAACATGTGTGCAACTTACCTTTATGATTTCGGCTTGTGGCATTGGTTGCCGTGATATGTGATACTGATACAGTACCATGTACATGCAAGTGGTGGCTATAAATATAGTCAGGTACATTTTAATGGATTTTCCTAACGCCATGTTGGAGATGTTTAGTTGTTTTGGTTGTTTCCGTTTGGTCGAAAAAAAAGAGAGCTAAACTGAGCTGTTGTTGTTGATGATGATGATGGTGGTCCGGTTGAGTTTTGGTTTAACTAAGTAAAGGAATGTGTGGAATAATGATGTTGCTGCTAGTGTCTGACCAGTTTGTGGACTATTTAAAGCTGTAGTTGTTTGTTTAGTTTATAGTTTAACAAGTTATTTTTTTTTCCTTTTTTTTTTCCTCAGGTTTTAAAAAGGTTTACTCGTTTCTTCAATTAAGTATTTTGTAGTAATTTGTTTTTTAGTTTTTCTTGCTTTACAAATCTCTCACTCTTGGGTTTTTAGTTTAACGGGGAAATGTGTTAAAGTTTAAGTTTACTTTCTTGCCAAGTTGTTGTTTTTTTTTTTTTTTTTTTGCAAAAAAAATTTAAAATTTTTCTCTCAAACTTTGTGCTAAAGTTGCAATTAGTTGCTAATTATTTGTTTTTAAACAGCTGTAAACAAATTGTTTTAAATATTAAAAAAATTAAAAAAAAATCTAAATTAAATTTTTACATATTTTCAAGTTCAAAACTTACCTTGTGTCTTTTGGAGTATTTCAATAGATGTCTTAAGTTGGGCACATCTATATAAAGTATTCGTTGTAATTGTTTAATTAAAACAAACATTTCTGTAAAGAAAAATTTGAAAAAATTTGCCATTAAATTAAAGATTTCAACAAATTCAAACAAAATTAAACACTAAGGCGTATGATTGTTATTAATTCCAAATAAATGTCAAAAAAATTAAGTATACGCTAAGGCGGCTTAGCTTCATACATATGTACATTTATAAAATAATATAAAATTTATATTTTTTTCAACACAATTCTTTCACAGACACAATTCTTGTTAAAGGTGTGGTTGCACTACTTTCATCTAGAACGTCTGGCCATCTCGTAACCTTGCCCAAGATCTTTATAAGTTAATATTGTTATGTATGAAAAATAGTTCAATAATTGATAATTTAACATTAATTTGATAACAAACTATATAACACATTGTCAGTTGCTGCTGCTGATAACAATAGAATTTCTTTGTAATTTTTTTATCAAACACTATGATGATATTTAATTAAAATTCGAAAAAAATTTTTGTAAAACATAACACAAAACAACAACTACTAATGTAATTAAAAACATCGTAGAAATTATTTAACATTTAGATTTATTAACAATTTATTTAATTTTTCTTAAAAATATTTTTTTTTTAAATTTTTAATCGATTAATCGTATAATTTTAACCGATTAATCGGTTAATTTTGTATAATTTTTTCAATAATTCATTTAACTTATTAATTTTTAACAAAAAAAAAAAAAAATAATTTTTGAAAAATTTTATTCGATTAATCGAATAATTTTAATCGATTAACCGGTTAATTATCATCATTTATTTACCTTTTCATTTTTGTAATTTAATTTTTCTTAAAAAACAGTTTTTTTTTAATTTTTATTCGATTAATAAAATAATTTTAATCGATTAATCGAATAATTTTAATCGATTAATCGAATATTTTTAAACGATTAATCGGTTAACTTTCATAATGTTATTACTTTTTCCTACAACAAATTATTTTTTTTCATAAAAAAAAAACTTTTTTGAAAATTTTTATTCGATTAATCGAATAATTTTAATCGATTAATGTTAATCTATTAATCGAATAATTTTAATCGATTACCTAAATTTTTTATTTTACCATAATACTAATTATTTTTTTATAGAAAAGAAATTGTTTTAAAAATTTATTCGGTTAATCGAATAATTTTAAACGATTAATCGGTTAACTTTCATGATTTGTTGGCCATTTAAATTTATCTAATTCTTTTTCACAGAAAAAACGATCAAAAACTATATTTTTAAAAATTATATTCGATTAATCGAATAATTTTATTAAATTAATCGAATAATTTCAAACGAATAATCGGTTAACTATCATAATTTTTTGTCTATTTCATTTAATTTATTAATTTTTTTACAAAAACAAAACATTTTTTTGAAAAATTTTATTCGAATAATCGAATAATTTTAATCGGTTAACTATCATCATTTATTCACCTTTTCAATTTAATAATTAAATTTTTCTTAAACGACAATTTTTTTAATTTTTATTCGATTAATAAAATAATTTTAATCGATTAATCGAATACTTTTAAACGATTAAAAGGTTAACTTTCATAATGTTTTTACTTTTTCGTACTACAAATTAATTTTTCATAAAAAAAAAAATTTTGATGTTTATTCGATTAATCGAATAATTTTAATCGATTAATCGGTTTACTTATATATTTTTTTGTCCATTTTAATTCATTTACTTATTTTTCAAAGAAAAACGATCAAAAACTATATTTTGAAACATTTGATTCGCTTCATCGAATAATTTTAATGGATTAATCGAATAATTTCTATCGAGTATTCGGTTAAATCTCATAATTTTTTTACTATTTCATTTAACTTACTAATTTTTTTTTAAACCAAATACTTTTTGAAAAATTTCATTCGATTAAACGAATAATTTTAATTGATTAATCGAATAATTTTTATCGATTACCTTTAATTTTTTTATTTTACCTTACACCTAATTAATTTATTGTAGAAAAAAAAATTTAAAAATTTTATTCGATTAATCGATTAACCGGTTAACTTTAATCGAATAATCGATTAACTTTCATAACTTTTTGGTAATTTTAATTTATTGATTTTTTTTCACAGTTAACTTTAATTTTTTTCCATACTGCTAACTAATTTTTCATAGAAAAACTATTTTTTTTGAAAATTTGTATACGATTAATCGATTAATTTTAATCGAATAATCGATTAACTTTCATATCTTTTTGGTAATTTTAATTTATTGACTTCTTTTTCACAGAAAAACGATCAAAAACTTTACTAACCAAAAAATCGCTTATTTTAAGCCATTAAACGGCTAACCAGAAGCGATTAATCGGTTAAATATAAAAAAAATATTCGAATAATTTTTCATTCGCATCAAATTGATAGCATATTTCTTGTTCAATTTCAGGCATTATTAATTTTAATAGAATTAAATCAATTATTTTCATTAATTTAACGTATAATTTTAAGCGATTAATCGAATAAAATTGAATCGGTTATTCGAATAATTTTTTATTCGTAGTAAATTTTTGAAGCATATTTCATTTTACTAAGTAGAAAATAATTATAAAAAAAATTCGGATATTTTTAATCGATTAACCGAATAAATTTGAATCGTTTATTCGAATAATTTTTTATTCGCTTAGATTTTAAAGCTTATTTCAATTGACTAAGAGGACATAATTTTTTCAGCAAATTTAACAAAAATGTTTAATCGATTAATCGTATAAAGTTTAATTGGTTATTCGAATAATTTTAATCGATTATAAAACAATTTTTAAACATTATTTAATAAAAAAAAATTTTGTGTTAAATTAAAAAAAAAACAAAATTTTGGGTAAATTTGTATTCGATTAATCGAATAATTTTAATCGATTAATTTTAATCGGTTATTCGAATATTTTTTTTTCAATTATTCGTTTTAAAACAGAAAAAGATATTCAGAATTCAAGTAAATTTTTATTCGATTAAACGTTCACACCGAATTTTCTCAACTAATTACAGTTCAAAATGCTGCGATGTTGTTTTAATTTGTTTACTCTTATTGCATTTTTGCTACTTCAATATAGTTTTTGATTAAAATTTATATTTTTACCCTCAATTTTTTCTCTGTTGAATTCTGTAAGGCACAACAAATACAACAAAACTTCTTTATTAATTTGGTTTAAAAAATGAAATCAAGGTCTTGTTTTAGTTTCAGTTCTGTTTTTTTTTTTCAAAATAAATAAAAAAAATCCACAAAAAATATTGAGAAAAACACTGCATAAAATAATTTCACTAACGGAAAACACAACAACAACATAAAATTGTTATTAATGTGTTGTTATTTGTAGTTTGTAGAGTGTAAAAAAAAGAGTGTAAGGGAAATTAAAAGGAGTGAAGTGTAAAGTACCCAGAGTAGTACATTTACTCACGTACTCATGCTTACATTCGTACATACACATACACATTTACATGTTAAAAATGTTGTGTAGTGAAAATTAAAGTTGTTGTTGCTTTCGTTTGTTTTTGTTTATTTATTATTATTGTATGCCTGTTTGCCTGCAAATGTTGTTGTTATTCAAATATTTGTTTGTTTACTATTCTTTTCGCTCGTTCGTTTATTCGTTTGCTCCCGTTTTATGTATGTATTTACAATTTGTGTGGAGAAAAACGGTTGCATGTATTCATGAATGTATTGTATGGCATGAGTTGGGTTTAGTGGGAGCAACAACAACAATAATAAGGAAGCAATGGAAAACGGTTTTGCATTTTTAAATAACAGTGTATGAATCTAAAAATAGAGCAGCACTATCTCAAACTGTTCGATCAGTTCGTTTAGTTCGGATTTAGATCTAGTTCTGTTCTAGTTCTGTTCTAGTTCTAGTTTCTAGTTCTGTTCTAGTTCTGTTTCTAGTTCTGCTCTAGTTCTGTTCTAGTTCTTTTTAGTTCTGTTCTAGTTCTGCTCTAGTCCTGTTCTAGTCCTGTTCTAGTTCTGTTTCTAGTTCTGTTCTAGTTCTGTTCTAGTTCTGTTCTAGTTCTGTTCTAGTTCTGTTCTAGTTCTGTTCTAGTTCTTCTAGTTCTGTTCTAGTTCTGTTCTAGTTCTGTTCTAGTTCTGTTCTAGTTCTGATGTTCTGTCTAGTTCTGTTCTGAGTTCTGTTCTAGTTCTGTTCTAGTTCTGTTCAGCTCTGTTCTAGTTCTGTTCTAGTTCTGTTTCTAGTTCTGTTCTAGTTCTGTTCTAGTTCTGTTCTAGTTCTGTTCTAGTTCTGTTCTAGTTCTGTTCTAGTTTCTGTTTCTAGTTGCTGTTCTAGTTCTGTTCTAGTTCTGTTCTAGTTCTGTTCTAGTTCTGTTCTAGTTCTGTTTCTAGTTCTGTTCTAGTTCTGTTCTAGTTCTGTTCTAGTTCTGTTCTAGTTCTGTTCTAGTTCTGTTCTAGTTCTGTTCTAGTTCTGTTCTAGTTCTGTTCTAGTTCTGTTCTAGTTCTGTTCTAGTTCTGTTCTAGTTCTGTTCTAGTTCTGTTCTAGTTCTGTTCTAGTTCTGTTCTAGTTCTGTTCTAGTTCTGTTCTAGTTCTGTTCTAGTTCTGTTCTAGTTCTGTTCTAGTTCTGTTCTAGTTCTGTTCTAGTTCTGTTCTAGTTCTGTTCTAGTTATGTTCTAGTTCTGTTCTAGTTCTGTTCTAGTTCTGTTCTAGTTTAGTCTAGTTCTGTTCTAGTTCTGTTCTAGTTCTGTTCTAGTTCTGTTCTAGTTCTGTTCTAGTTCTGTTCTAGTTCTGTTCTAGTTCTGTTCTAGTTCTGTTCTAGTTCTGTTCTAGTTCTGTTCTAGTTCTGTTCTAGTTCTGTTCTAGTTCTGTTCTAGTTCTGTTCTAGTTCTGTTCTAGTTCTGTTCTAGTTCTGTTAGTTCTGTTCTAGTTCTGTTCTAGTTCTGTTCTAGTTCTGTTCTAGTTCTGTTCTAGTTCTGTTCTAGTTCTGTTCTAGTTCTGTTCTAGTTCTGTTCTAGTTCTGTTCTAGTTTCTGTTCTAGTGTTCTAGTTCTAGTTCTAGTTCTGTTC